TTAGGGAAGTCTAACTCACCAATATGTTTACATCCACACTTTGAACACCTAGGTTTCTATTATGATACCTTTCCATAGATATGAAATAACGTATTTTCAAGGATAGTCTTCTCAGCATTACTTACAATAGGAAAAGATTGGAAACAACCCGATGTCCATCAATGGAGGACTGGTCGAGTAAATTATCATATAGCCTCCATATGGAGTACCACGTAGCCATTAAAAATTAGCAATGTCTCTATGAACTGAGATGGAGTAATTCTAGGATTTGAGTGGATAAAGCCATGTGCAAAGCAGTGAATAGAGTATACTAGATTTTTGTAAGAAAGGAAAATAAGACCACACACACACCTTTATACACTAAGCAACACAGATAAACCAGAAAGGAATGAAATGGTAAGTGAAAAAATATGGAAAAGATGGGCAAAATACTTCTCTAAGCATACTTAAGAAATTAAATTTTGATGGGGCCAGTAGGTGGTGTGGTGGCTAAAGCACTTGATTTACACATGGCCTGCCATGGTTTGAGTCCCAGACCTGGTGGCATGCCTGTGTATGCCCGAAACCCTGAGAGGAGAAGGAAGGAATTATGTTGTGGACATTCTCCCCTTGGGGGAGGGGAGTTCTCACTTTCCCTCTGTCTCTCTCTGTCTCTTTCAGGTGAGCATACATGCCCTATGAATATATATATATATATATATATATATATATTAGACTCTCTGTATTATGTATATACATATTATATATAGTTCATATTGGGGGGGAGATTATTGAATGATGCAAATGTTTTACCTATCCCAAAGCATAAAAGCAAGGGAAAAGTCAAACCCTAAAATTGATCACAAACAGAAGCAAATGAAACTAATGTATTTCAAAATAATAATATACCCATACAGAATAGTGAATTTTAAAAGTTACTTTTGTACACAATTTTCTGATTACATCTTTAGCTGTCTAGCTTTTTTTCTTTTTTAAAAAAAGTTTTTGCCAAAGGGCCTGTACGCTTATCAAAGAGAGATAAAGAGAGAGGGAAAGTGAGAAATCAGCTCCCAGGAAGGATGGCCATGTTGCAATCCCTTCTCCTCCATTCTCCTCTTGGAATTTTGAGCACACACACACACACATGTGCCTGGTGTGTTTCAAGCCATCAGGCCAGGACTGAACTGCCATTGACCAGGTGGGAGTCCAGTGCCTTGACCACTGTGACACCTGCTGGCCCCTGGCAGCATATGTTTTAAGAACTAAAAGATACACTCACAAATCTTAAATTTTTCTCAGCAGTTTATTATTCATAACAATGTTTGTTTTATAACTTGGAAACTGTTATATGATAAAAATAAATTAATATTGTTTACAGGGGATTAATATTTTCAATATAAGAGAAAAGAAATACAAATGTGAAACAAAGTAATGTAAGAAAAAACTAAATTCATTAAATTTGGCCTAGCCTTGGTGATGCAGGCAGTGGTGTACTGAGTTACAAGGCCAGAAGCTACCTGGCTGACCATCGGCTCAGATTCCAAGGTTGGCCAGATAAAACCTGCGAGGAACATGTAAAGATCCTCAGGATCCTGATGGGCTGGAAGGTTGGGGGAGGGGATCATGGCATGATGTGACCTTGTCAAGGGTGCTTATCTTTTTCTCTCTGATGCGTGTGTGCAGGCATATACGTATACTTGTGATCTCTATTATGAATAAAAATAAGACTTTTAAAGTGTTATATTTGAGTTGGAAATATTAACATAAACTCATACTTATCATATATACATAATTATATATATATATATTAGACACACACACACACACACACACACACACACACAAATTTTCTATCTACCCACCAAAAAGGTCTGAGAAGCAATGCAAACTCTGTGGTAAAAAGAATGACTTTCATCCATATCCTGGTTTCTAATTAATATTTCCTGTTAAAAAAGAACTAGGGTTCCTTGGAGAAATAAATGACTGATTCCACATCTGAGACAGGGAAAGTACAAAGTGAGCCTTGGACATGTTACTGGGCTGAGAAGCAAGGAATTACTCAAAGACTAATAAGATAAAGGGTGCAAATGTCAAATAGAAGGGGTTACCATTTATCAGATTGGGACAATTTGAGCAGCCAAAAGAATAATAATTGTATATTTGATTATAACATATGGAACACATTGAATAAGTAAAATAACGTGTTCATGGTAGTGTAAGGGAAGAAAGAAGGAGTGTGTGCATGTGTGTATGTGTGAGAGAGAGAAAGAGAGAGAGAGAGGGAGAGAGAAGGGTTCTTTATTAAAGATGCCAGCTAATAACTCCAGAGGAAGGTTAAATTTAGAGAATTCTTCATTTATATTCTTCATATAATAACTGATTCCAGCAAGGATCATCAATGCTGCTCAAACTTAGGTAAAAGATTATTAGAGGGCAGGATTTTTGCATGGTGCAAATTGTCACATTATAGATTACCTACTAATTGCAAAGAGGATAGTATCACATTTCATTATAATTTCATTAGAGATCTGGTGACAATCAAATAATCAAAGTTAGTATAATTATTAATGGGAAATATTGACATTAAGTGCTTTTTTTTATTGGTAGAGGGTGCATGTGCTTGTCAGAGAGACAGAGATACAGAGACAGGAAGAAAGGGAGAGGAAGAAAGGATTGTGGCCACACCACAATCCTTTCTCCTTCATTTTGGGCACATATGCACATGTTCCTGGCATATTTTTTAAGTTGCAGGGGTTGAAATTCAAGCTGTGAGGTTAGCTATGTAGGATACTGCTCCCTTAACCACTAGGCTATGAGGTCACCCATTAATACCTTTTTTTAATAAGTATTTTCTGGGGACCAGCAGATAGCATAATGTTATGTTGCTGGACTCCCACATAGTTGACTGCAGTTTGCATCCCGAACCCAGAGGCTTAAAAGTCACTCTGGGCACGTGTGCATGCATGCTCAAAATCCCAAGAGGAGAAGGGATTGCATCATAGCCATCATCCCTGGGGGATTTCTCACTTTCTGTCTCTGTCTGTTTCTCTCTGTCTCTCTGGCAAGCACATGTGCCATATAGCAAAAATCAATCTACAAAATTTAAAAAAATGGTTTTTTTTCTTTTCTTTTTTCCATTCATGAGAGTGAAAGAGGGTAGGAGGAGGGGAGACAAACACCTTCAGCAGTTTCTCATGCCATAATTCTCCCACTCCCTCCAGTCAGCCAGGATCATGGGCATACATGGCCAGCACCTATAAATTAACTAGGGCAACTGAACCCACACTCTTCCATATGGATCTAGCATTACTTAAGCAGCACATTATACACCACTGAGCTGGTCAACATTAAATGCTTTCTCTTGCGAAGTGATGCAAAGCATGCAATATCTACAAAGTATTTTTACCAAAAATATTAAACATGAGTGTACTCAATCCTTTAGACCTAACTTTCAGTATACAGGAACCACAGGTTGCAGGGGCACAAGTTAAATGAAACTGTTAGGAAACAGACAAATCTTCATCCTCATTTCTGGCTCCTTTTTGCTTAGTCCAGAGGGCAGGGTATCATATTATCACGTTGACAGCTGGCAAGAAAGCTAGGCAGTTAAAAGGCAAGTCCATTTGACAGGAATGGGCTGGCATGTGATACATAAGCATGTGAATCCCCAGTTTCCCAGCCAAAGATGATTGACTGCCAAGACAGAGAAACGAAGGATGGTGAAAAAACATGATGGAGGAAGCTCTAGATTTCAGCCTTGACCCTGCCACTGGCTGTAGAATTCCAAACAAGCCAACCCCACATTCTCAACTCCAGCTTCATCTGTTCGGTGAGAGAACCGAACAGAGTATCTTCAAGGACCTGGCCTCTGCCAAAAAACTGCCCTTTTTAGGATAGTTTTTGCTAATGTTGGCTGGCACACATTTAACTCTTGGATCTGAGAGAATGAGTCTGAAATCTATACTGTGCATGGCCACTCAGTTACCTAACCTGTACAATGTCGGATATATGAGTATGTGTGAAGAAATAGCAAGTCAACAAGGATCTGTATAATAAACCAGAAAAAGTGAATGCTTAGTAAAAGGAAAAAGGTTCTTTTTATAGTTTTTGCCAGAGGCTGCTCATTGAAGAGAGAGGAAAAGTGACAAGGCATGCTACAGTTACTTCTCATCCATTTCTCCCTCCTTTCAGGATTTTGGGCATGCATACACACCCAGTATGTTTTTCAAGCCACTGGGTCTGGGACTTGAACCACACAATTGGTCATGTCAGATTCAGCCTCTTTAAACCACCATACCACAGGCTGGTTCATACAAACTTTCTAAGAAACTGCTTAGGTAAAGTACTTGGGCTAAGGCAATCAAGGATTCTGAGCAACGTTAATGGCATGACTCCAGGCTCAGGAGGGCATCATGCAGTCCCTTCAATTTCTCTCTTTATAAAATGGAGATAGGGTCTTACTGGGTCTTAATGGCCCTTAAATGTAGCATCTGAATTTTCTCTCCTCCAAAGCAATATGAGACAGTAGGAAGAGTATGGTCTTGGAGACAGAAGTGAATATGAACATTTATAGTAATGGAACCTAGAAAATTGTACTTACATCCTCTGAGCTAAATTACTTTACCTGCAAATCGGGGATAATAAAGAGGTCCTCATAAGAAAGTTGTTAGGTTCAGTGAGATAACCTAGCACATCTCTGGGCCCACAGTGGATGAATTACATATATTTGCTCACTGGCTTTCTTCCCTTCTTCTTGTTTTTCCATAGGATGTGGGTGGTAGTTGTCGTGGTACTAACTAAGACTCCTGGACTCAATGTCTCCTCTTTGCTCTTCGGTCACATTTTCCCGCCGAGGAACACATTGCTACCTCTAGCCTGGTCAGAGAGAATGATGGGAGAATTGGATGGCCATTCCTTGATGGCATCAGCTGCTGCTCAGGGTTACTCTTCCCAGGCAGGTCACAGTGGCTGAGCTATCTGCAGAAAACACACCACCTAGAGAAGCTGTGGATCCGACTCACCAGATGAGTTGTAACAGTAGGCGGCAAACGTGCGGCTAATTGGAGCTCTCCAGATCAGGACACCCTTCCCGTTCTTCCCACACTTAGGGTTGGGGGTAATCCGAGGGATGACCGAGAACCCATCTGCAACCCATCCATAGCTGGAAAAGATACACGCTAGTTGACTGGACAGACGATTAGACAGAACCATTTCTATTGCTGAGCAAGAACATGGAGCCGAAAGAGCCCCAGCAGTGTATGTGAACCCAGCTGTTTCTCACCTGCATGTCTCAAAGTCAAGCGTCCATGCTGCTTCAACCTGGTCTTTGCTGGCCAAAGTTAGTCCCAGCAGCCTACAGGCCTCTCTGGCTTCTGAGAAATTCAGCTGCGGGTCTACCTTTTTGTTCACAAGGGTAACCCCCATGATCCTGCACGTCAAGACAGAGAGCTCTGCAAAAGAATCACACAGGTTCTCAGTTTGCTGCTGTTCTTGTTCCCAGCCCTTAGGCTCTTGTTCCTAGGAAAGCATTATCATCTTAATTCAGTAGTGAGTTCCGTGTGCTTGGGATAGGGTTTAGGAAGGATAGGACACAGACCAGGCATTTTCCACAAGGACAGCCTGCTGGGTTAGATGGATGCTTGCTCTGGTCCCCAAGTTGTAAATCAGCGTTGACCCCATTGACTGCATTAAGGTGTCTTGTTTATCACATGGCAGCTTTGGTTACCAGTCCTTTGGATAGGGACTAGGTGATGGAGTTGTTGCAAACCTTTTTGGAGTCTGCAAAATGAAGCACCTGAGACTTTGAGAAAGATAGAATTCATGGCTTCATTAAAAGAATAGTTAGCAATAGCCCAAATTGATGTGGTTTCTGGGCACCATGATTTCTGAGATGGACTGAAAATGTTGCACTTGTTAAGACACCATGTGAGCTTTCTCGGGTCTAGGTCTTCTCTGACCATTGGGGGGCAGGCTTACTTAGGAAGTTCTTGGAGAAGCTGGGTGGTAAACCTTGCATGCCAGAGAAAATAAATAAAGGAAGTAGAATTTTAAAGCCAGACCTGAGCTCGCATCGAACCTATATCACTTGTTAGCTCTGTGACCTTATCCTCATTAATTCATCTCTATGAGCCTCAGTTTTCTTACTTACAAAATCATGAGAGTCACAGTATGTACTACATAAAGTAGTGAGAGTTAAATGAGTTAATTCTGATAAATAGGCTTGGTGACTGCCATATAGTAGGTGCTCAATACATCATAGGTACCACATGATCGTTTTTGTCTTTAAAGTATGTAGTTTTAGTATGCTAATGATTGCTTTCCCTAGGAAAACTGAGGTAGTTTAATTGGTAAGATGCAAATGTGGGAGGTGTGGTGGTTAAGGGTGCTGGACTCCCACATGGCCAACTGTGGTCTGAATCCTGGACCTGGTGGCTTGCTTTCTCACTCCTCCCCCCCCACACACACACACATACTCTGTCCCTTTCTGATCAAATTAAAATAAATAAATAAAGTTAAATAAAATAATTCTTTTAAAAAAGATGCAGGGAACCAGCAGGTAGCATAATGGCTATGTCGCTGGACTCCAACGTAGTCGATCGTGGTTCGCGTCCCGGACCCAGTGGCTTAAAACTCACGCCGGGCACGTGTGCATGCGTGCCCAAGATCCCGAGAGGAGAATGGAGGAGAAGGGATTGCAGCGTGACCATCCCTTCTGGGGGGTGATTTCTCGCTTTCTGTCTCTATGTCTCTGTCTGTCTCTCTGGCGAGAGCACGCGCCCTATAGCAAAAACCTCTCCAAAAAAAAGAAAAAAAAAAGGTGCAGATAGTATTGTTATTAAAATCAAATGGGTTTGAAAGTTTTATTGATTACTTCTTTCTGGGTTCTGAGATGTATGAACCTATATGAAACTGTCGGGTTGCATTCTATTCAAGTACATTATTCCTACTGGGCTTCATCTATGAATGCCCATGAAAGGGCATTTAAATGTCCCAGGTAATTGCTGTACGTAGCTCTGTAGTTGGTGCCCAGTAAAATGTTTTGTCCATTTTCTCTGGTTTTTTTTTTTTTTTAGAGGATTTTGCTTTAGGGCATGTGCACTCACTTGAGAGAGAGAGAGTGAGAGGCAGAGACAGAGACAATGAGGAGGGAAAGTGAGAAATCATCCCCCAGGATGGCCGCATCGCAATTCCTTCTCCGTTTTCCTCCTGGAATTTAGGTACACATGCACATGCTCACAACATGAGTTTCAAGCCACTGGTTCCAGGACTTGAACTGCAGTTGGCCATGTGGGAGTCCAGCAACGTGATTGCTATGCCATTTACTGGCCTCTCTAGTTAGTTTTTAAAAGAAGTTTCTTTTTGAAAACATGGTAGGAACACTTCCAAGTGTTTCTTGTGACCTTGCTGTGTTCTGTCACAAGGGACTGAGGGAAGAACTGTGTATCTGATGTATAGTATTTGTGGATGGCCTTGCTTGCTTCCAGACTGTTTTCTCACCAAGAGAGGCCAAAGAGTCAACACTCCAACATGAGTGTTTGTAATTGGAGTGAGAGAGCAGCCTCTTATGAATGGGTACACTAGAGACCAGCAGATGGCGTAATGGTTACCTCACTGGAGTAGTTGGCCGTGGTTCAAGTCCCAGACCCAGCAACTTGTGCATGTGTGCCCAAAATCCTGAGAGGAGAATGGAGGAAAAGAGATTGCAGCATGGTCATCCCCCTGGGGAGTATGTCTTGCTTTCTGTCTCTCGGTGTCTTTCTGATGAGCACATGAGCCCTATAGAAAAATCTCTAAATAAATAAATGGGCACACTAATACCTTCTTTATACCAAACCCGCTATCAATATTAACACCAATAGTAACTTCAGTATTTCTTGTCTGTTGATGTTACTTTCTGCCAAACTCCATCTCTTTTAAGAGAAAATCAGGGATTAGGGAGATTAACTTTTCAAAGCCTAAGGACGTAAAAGGACTAGGTGGCAGATGGGGTGTAAACCCAATTACTCCTGAATCTAAAACCCCAAATTTCAACCGTGATATTGTTCTACTTTCCACTGTGTTACAGAGAGATGAACATGCATGCGCAGGTGTGCGTGCGTGCACGCACACACACACACACCCAAGCTGAACTCTCTGAACATACCATTTACCCTGGACTTTGGTTCCCTTAGCTCCTGAGCCTGCATTTTCTCAGACTTCTTATGACTGCTTCTTTGGGAATTGACTATAGAGAAAGATTATTTATTACACTGTAATGTGGTCTTGCTACTCTCTCATTATACCTCATTTTTTTTCTTTCTTTTTTTTTTTTTTTTTTGAGAGGTGTTTGCTATAGGGTGCGTGCGCTCGCCAGAAAGACAGAGAGAGACAGAGAGAAAGCGAGAAATCACCCCCCAGAGGGGATGGCCATGCCACAATCCCTTCTCCTCCATTCTCCTCTCAGGATCTTGGGCATGCATGCACACGCACCTGGCGTGAGTTTAAGCTACCGGGTCCAGGACTCAAACTGCGATTGACTACATGGGAGTCCAGCACCATAGCCATTACACTAACTGCTGGTCCCTCATCATACCTCATTTTTACTCTGAATATTATCACTTAGTGTAATGATAGACCCATTCTGGGTAAACAGATCTAGCTTTGGATATTTCTTCTTTTGGGACTAGCTGTTGGGATCTTGGGCAAGTCAGCATTCTTTTCTGTTCAATGAGTATGGCTTTATCTTCTTCACAGGATTTTTGCCAGAATTAAATTAAATAAATTATACTTACAGATGCTGGGTCCATGGTAGGAAGTCAATAAATACTTGTCAATTTATGCTTTCTATTTTATTTAGAAATTCCAGGGAGCTGGAATTCAGGAGGTACTTCAGTAACCCTTTCCTTAAGATGTTTTAGGAGAGAGCAAGCATGGTAGAAATAGTATATACTTAGAAATCAGAGCTGAATTCAAACCTAAGTTTTATTATCATTACTATTGTTTATTATTGGGCAAGTCACTAGCCTTACTGAGCCTGTTTCTTCATCTGTAAAATATCTTCCTCAGAGATTAAATTAAATTGTATGTATACACAGAACAGGTTGCCAAAAATATATAGTTCCCATCCCTATTTGCTCACTTTCCTTGGGTACTCTACTGTGCAATCTTGGTTATGATGACTTTTGTCTATTTCCAAATATTTCTTTGCCTTGAAAAATTTTGCCATTATTGAGGATGATCAAGAGTATGATAGAGTCATTGCTAAAGAACAATTTCCAAAATAGTTTAGATAATGGCAACATTGTGAGGAAACATAGTCTCCACAGGAGATTTCAAAGAAGACCAACCTTATTTGAAAGTAATAGTTCTGGAATGTGAAAAAAACAAACAGACAAACAAACAAAAAAAACAACTCCACTTAAACTCCCTCATAACATTACATATAATAGTTGAGTCACAAATCAACTCAGATGTCTGTCTCTGGCATATTCTATACTTCGGAGCATGTTCCAGTAGAAGATACACTACTTTTCTTTTAAAGTGCTCAGATTCTGTTTGCCCAGAGCTTCAACCAGTGATTTGTGGCTATGACTTTTTGCCTGCACTGCAGAATGAGGTTTTCATTTAGGCATCTCAAAAGCCCAGAAATCACTAAGTCATTTCTTTGGTAGGGAACTGATGGCCTAGTTTTCAAATTTATGTTTTTATAGTTTTCCAGTTAATTTGCTCTTTACTGCATATTAAAAACATTGCCTTCCATTTATAGTATAGTAAAGTTACAATAATTAGGCTGACCTTCCCAAAAATATGAAATAGATTGATAGTTGGTGAAAGTTACCCATTTTTTCCCAGTCTTAGTGTTTGCTTTATATTTTTCACAATCCTGGTTTGCTTCATCAATGAAATACTTTTTAAAACAAATGATTTCACTTTAAGGTTGTGTTTTAGAATGTGCACATTAAAGATATTTCATAAGCAAAAAAAAAAAAGTCAAGATGACACAAAGATAAATGTAAATCATTTTAGTGAAGTTGATAATATGGTGAAAACATTTCTGGCAGGGCCATACTACCAATTAGACCTGTCATTGACATTGAAGGTCACCCCCATTCCCAGAAATCCATAGTCAGGGGTTTAGTAGGCTTAGGACAGTTTGTAATATCTTACCTTGACTCAGTTTGGAAATCTGGTAAGCAACCTACCTTCCACACGAAGAGAACCGTGGACCAGGAGCCCTGTGGTCCAGGTGGAAGCAAGGAACAACACCAACAAGAAGCGCTTGACCATCATGTCAACCCCTTCGACCCAGGGAAGCCTTCCGCTGGCCACAGGCAATACAGAGGCAGATGCTCGATCACTAGTCTGGATGGAGAGTTCTGGAAATATGTTGAGGCCCCCACTGCTTCACTTCATAACTGAGACATCCGGATTTCCCTGCTTTCAAGCTTCTGACTTGTCAAGGTCACTAGGGGAAATGAGTGACGCCCCTTGAACGCCCAGGCTGTACTTTGTGGATGGCTTTCTGGAAAATTTAGCTAATGCTGACTCAGAAAGCACACAAATGAGGAAGACAGATAGCACAGTGTGAACTGCTGAAGGTTTTCCCAGCTCCCATATTCCCCTCCACCCCCTCTCCTGACAGCTCAGTGCTCACACCATTCATTGTTATGGCCTGTGGAGCCCATACATTTATATTCTCTTAGGAATGTCTCTGTCTCTAAGGGAGATTGGGCATGGACTGTGCTTTATTCTCTTCCACAATCAGCATTTCTCTCTCTATCTGCATTGTGCTCTGGGGGGAATGATGCTGAGGTTCATGAAAGTAAATACCTATTTAAATGCTGAGTGTTGGTTGAAGCTGCTACCTAGGCAGCTGGAGCCACATGGGAGGCTTGGGTGGGATTCCTGGTCCACCCTAAAAGTAAGGCATGGTGGCTTGAGCCTGCAACCCCAGCTATTTGGAAAGCTGAGGCAGGAGGATCTCCACATAGTGAGACCCTAACTAAATGAGTAAACAAACAAGCACAGAACCTTTACGTCTTCCTTTAGGACTCCTTTTATATATTGGAAATTTCTACACCACTCCAGGGGATTCGTTTTTGTTTTCTTTTTTTATTTGCTAGAGGACACGTGTAGTCACCAGAGAGAGAAGAAAGCCCAGGCGAGAGGGAAAAAGTACCTCCAATGGAGCTTGGTCATGCCACAATCCCTTCTCTTCCATTTTTCCACCTTTTTGAATTTGGGGCATGTATACACGTATGCCTGGCATGTTTTTCAAGCCATCAGGGTTGGGGTTCAAACTGCATAGCTGACTATGTAGAATTTGGCTCCCTTAACCAGTAGGCCATGGGGTCAACCTTTATTTTCTGAAGAGGTCAGATACATATAAAAATGCACATTTACAAGCACAGCAAGGGGAGGCAATTTACAAAGTTAGTCATTTCACACTTTGTAGAAGGATTTTTGACTTTATAATAGCAGTCACCACAGGAGTTCTTTAAAACTTTTTAAAAAATTATTTCCTCCACGAGCAAGAACAAGAAATATGGAGAGACAGCACTCCAACAGGGTCTCAATGTCATAGTCCACCCTGTTTCTGCTGGCCCCAGATGATAGACATGTGAATGCCCAGTGCAGCAGTTCTTTATATAATTATTTTTCTCGTTAACGGCATCTCATATTCTGGAAGACCAAAATTCAATATAGACTCCACCTTTGTCATTTGGTAAATGTGAAGGCTATCTGAACAGTGTATGAACAAGTGCACTCTCTTTTCCCAGCTGGATTTTCAGTATTTTTACCTTGCATGGTAATAATGGAGTTCTGGCTTGTAAGAAATGCTCTGAGCAAAGGTTTATGAGTTTTCTCCAAAATGAATGTCTTCTTTAGGCAAAGTGTATGGATAACCAGCTCTTTCTACATAAGTGGTCACAAAATTATATATCTGTATGGAAAATACCAATAATAAAAAGAGAATATGCTTTGCACAAGCACAGGGAACTTCTAAGGACCAGAGAAATACCTCTTAAATATCTTCAAAACAGACTTGATTACTGGGGTGAGCACATGCCCTAGGCTCCTACTACCTCAGAAACATGTCTGATTTTATCATCATGGTGCCAGATAGTTAGGTAGGAATCATGTTCTCTTCATAATCACCCTAAAAGCCAAGTGCGATATCCAAAAGAGAGCTAGCTTCAAATATTTGTTAAATTATTACAAAAAGAAACAAAGAAGGTAGGCAGGAAGGGGAAAAATGAATCATGGAAGGTAGGTTTGGATGGGAAAAATAGTTTATGAGAAGAGAGAACAGTTACCTAAATTTTAGAAACAAATTAGTATAGGAGGAATTATTGGATAAAGGGGATAAGTACCATAGTGATTGTGCTGGAACTTAATGGATTTCTGGAATAGAAACTTCTTTTTGGATATTCAGTTGAGAGATATTAAGCCATCATTGGGATATAATTGAAAATGCTTGATTAGAACTTGATGCCTCGTTTGTTAAGTAGGAATCCTTAGTCTCAGATTCTAGGCCTCTCACCCAAGATAAGGTTCTGGAGAATTTGTTGCCAAGATCTAAAAACTAAGAAGTCATAAAGAAAATGGTACCAGAGAATCTCTCTTCACAATTCTGAAAAACAGTGTTCAGAATGTAGAAAAAGAACCTGTAGCACTGTCCACTTCTGAAATCACAGCTCATGCCATAATCAAGGAGAACTAGTGATTAAAGAAGGAAGTTATTGAATTAGAAGAGAAATGTGAACAAATAAATGAAAATGAAAAGAACAGCAATTGTTTCAAAGGAGAACAGGAAACATGCAATATCCAGGCCAGTGTTCTTATTCTTTGAATATGGAAAAAAAGAGTGAATATGTTATTTAATCTAATGTCAAACATGATATCCAAAGGAGAACTAGAGATTTGAAATGTGGCAAAATTTAAGAGTCGAAATTTGAAATGTGGCAAAAAGGAAAGAAATATTGTACAATCCAGAGATCTGAAGTGAGGGTATTTTTAAAATTTTAGTTTAAGTTCTAACACTAATTATCTGTGTGACCTAAAACAAGTCACATAACTTCTCTGTGCCTCGGTTGTATCATCTCTCAAAGAAGGAAGAGGAATTTTAGAAACTTAAAAATAACATAGCAGTATCATTCTATGTTACCTGATGTAGGG